GCAGAACCGCCTTGCTTTTCCTTGCCCGAGGCTTAGCTTTTCCCACCTGCCTTTTTCCGCTTCGGACTACAACTCCCATCATCCCCCGGGCCCTGCCCGGTAGCGAGGGGGGAGGGGAAGCGGGGAAGGGAAGAAATCCCGTTTCTCTCGCCCCTTCCTCCTCCTCACACGCATCCTCTATTGTTATTATTGGTACCTTCATCTAGCCTTCCAGGAGCCCACGCCTACAACACCCATCATCCCCCGGGCCCCGTGTGGTAGCCATTGGAAGGAAGCGCCCCCCCCCAGCCACGTTAATTATTGTTAATTATTCTTATTATCCAAGTCTAGCTCTCCTCTTTGCTTTCCAGGAGTGTTGGCCAACAACTCCCATCATCCCCCCAACACTTGCTGGGAGGGGCATGAGTAGAGTGGGAGGGGCGAGGGAAGCAGGTGCTGTTTACTCACCACCTGACGTACCTCAGCTTCCTGAATCCCAGGCTCACTTCCTTACTGGCCCTCCACAGTTTTTGTGGGACTACAACACCCATCTCTATCTGGGTCTGTGTCCCGGGTGTGTGTGTGTGTGGGGCGGAAAGGCCGGCTAGTTTCCATTGGGGGCCTCAGCCCTTTGCCCAACCTGGGGTGGGGGGAAAGGACAGGATTGGACCTGGGAGGAATGGCAGGTGTCAACACCTGGAGGCTGCCGGCTCGGCTCAGAGACGGGCTGGATTTGTTTGAATTTGGGGTGGAGAAAAAAAATTACCTTTGAGGAGAAAGAGAGGCTGAACCCTGAGCATGTTTACTCGGAAGTCTTGTTAATTATTCTTATTATCCAAGTCTAGCTCTCCTCTTTGCTTTCCAGGAGTGTTGGCCAACAACTCCCATCATCCCCCCTTCTTGCCTGCCAAGGCTCTCGATGTCCAGCAAATAAGCATTTTTCCCTTAACCGGTCGCTCACTCTTCCCTGCCGAAGTTGTCCCCCTTCAGATCAATAGGGCTTTTGTTTAGGGTACACATTAAGTCTGTGATTCCAATGCACGCTCTCCCTTCCTCGTGGAAGATGATGTGGGGAAGTAAACTTCCTAGTAAGTTTATGCAGGGTGATGCTAGAACCCCCATTGTTCTCAGGGGTGTTTAGCTACTAAATTGGGTCAAGATTGCGGTTCCCATTGGTAACTCATTTTATTACATTAATATCCGTACTATTTTTGTTAGTGCGCATCTCAGGTTTCCAACAAAGTTTGTTTGGGAGTAACATCGTACCATTATGGGCACTTATTTATTCCGCTGGGGGAGAGGGTGGCGAGACAGCCATGAAGAAGGGGGGGAAGAGAGACGGAAATAGATTAGGTTTTGTTGTGGAATCGAGGTGGTGGGTGTGAGAGGAGACTGTTTAGGAAAGAAGAGGGTGATGATCACACTTGAGAGAGGAGCAGAGAGGCTGATTATGGGGAGGGAGAAGGAGGGGCAGCTCTATTGGTGCATATTTTTATGCAAAAATTTATTTCTTTTTGCATATTTTTATGCAAAAATTTATTTCAATTTATTGGTAGCTGGTCTTTCTCTCCTTAAGGAGTTCAGGAAACTGCCACCCCTCCTTTCTCCTCTCTTTTTCCCTATTAATCCAGGGACGTTAGACTTCTCCTCCCTGCATGTCCTGGAGAACAACAGCCCTGCCAAGATACTGTGTTTCCCCGAAAATAAGACAGAGTCTTATATTAATCTTTGCTCCAAAAAACGCATTAGGGATGTTTTTTCATGTACAACCATCTACATTTATTCAAAGACAGTCATGTCATCCTCTTCTGATTGCTGCACCATGGTGGAGGGCGGGGTTTCACTTAACCAGGGCTTAATTTTGGGGTAGGGATTATATGACAGGCATCCTGAAAAATCATACTAGGGCTTATTTTCAGGTTAGGTCTTATTTTGGGGGAAACAGGGTAGGTCCAGCTGAAAGAGGGTGACAGGTCTCCCCGTTAACCCCAGGCAAGCTTTGTGGCTCTAACTTTGGGTCCCCAGATGTTCTTGGGCTAAAACTCCCAGACGCCTTCACTACTAGCAGGGCTGGTCAGGGTTTCTGGGAGTTGTAGTACAAGAACACCCGGGGATCTGAAGTTGGGAAGTAGTGCTCTAACCGCTGTTGACACCTGCCTGGTGAAGATTAAGAAGGTGGAGGAAGAAAGCCACTACATAGATGGGTTGGAGACCAGCGCATGATTCCTCCTCCCCCATGTATGATGCCCATCAAGGAATGTAGATTGGAGCGGTATGGCCCACATTAGGAAGATAAGTCAATGTGTGGTTACCTCTTGAGATCCAGGCTCTTGATCCCTCTGGCTGTGAGAGTCTTGAGGTGGCTTTGGGACAGTCTGTCTCTCTGCCCTTGGTCTACCTGAAAGGGCTCTTAGGTGTGTAAAGTGGGGCGGGCAGAGAAGGCAAGACAGGGGCTGAGATGGGGCTTGATCAGGCCTAGGGAAGGTAGGTGGAACCACGGAAAAGAGGTGGGAAACGACCCACAGGAGAGAGGTAGCAGGAGGCAGAAGGGGGCCCAGAGTGGCGGGTCGGCGGAGTAGGGGGCAGAACGGCAGTGGGGCTGAGTGTACGTTTTGGGGAAAGGAGGTGCTGGACGTCAGGGGAAGGCTTTATGGAGGAGAGGGCCTGAGATAACATGGAGGCTGAGACGGAGAGAAGGAAGGGTAGGGTGAGTGATTCTCAAACTTTTATGCATCATACCACACCCATCACTCTGTCTGTCAAAAGGTCCTGAATCCCACCAGGACAGCAATTAAAAGACTGTTCCCACCCACCCCCGGCCGCCGCAAGAAGGACTTTAAGCTGTTTGAAAGTGTCCTATGTTAGGTTTATAATGGACATGATATTTTCAGGACGAAGGCTTACGTTCAGCGGCAACTGAGACTAGAACTCTGGAATCCTTGAGGTTTATGTAGGTGTGGATTTGCTGCTCAGCCGCCGATTCAGCGGGTCTCCTTCGGTTAGGATGAATAACTGAATTTAGGTCATAAAAATCATCAGGGAACGCTAAGGTGAGCAGTTATAGTGGTAGGGCCATGGGGAGGGGGCGGAAGCCCTTTTCTCACGGCTGATGTTGGTAAGCACAGTGCTCACGGGTTGTCAACTTACCAATAATGTTGCTGCTCCTGTGACTATGTAGGTCCTTACCTTTGTGCACCTCAAGAAGGTGAGAAAGGGCCAGAGGAAAAAAAGAGCAATGTTACCTGTTTATGTCTTGAGGAGCACAATAATATTTTCCCCTTTTCTGTAGGAGAATATATCCCAAGCGTTTGCTCTCTAGGTCTTTTTGCCTACACATCCCATCCGCCCCATTCGATATGGCCACTGGCAAGGGACAGTGGGAGTTAGACTCCAGATCATCCCTCAGGCTGAAGGTTCCCAGCCTTATTCTAGGTTGATAGGACTAGAAAAAAAGTAATTTATTATTAATTTAATTCACTTATTTATGTAAATTATTTTTACCCCACTTTTCTCCTTAAGAAGGACCCAAAACAGCCGGCATCATTAAAAAAAAAAGAGACAATATTGAAAGCTAGAATACAAAGACTAAAAATGATCAAACGAATACTACAGGAAAAGATGGTAAACAAGAGCAACACCAGATGCTGGAGGAGGAGTGTAATTCCCCTGCTTCCTTGCCATCCGCTGTCTGAGCTACTGTTGATGGGAGTTGTAGTCCAGCCAAAAGAAGAAGGAGGAAGAAATCTTGGGGGCTAAAAGTGGCCCGCTCCGTCTATGAAAGGGACGTCGGATACTCTGGAGCGCAGGTTTTCCCTCGCTGTGCTGGCTGGAATTTCTGGGAGTTGAAGTCCAGAAACATCCGGGTCACCCAAGGGTGTAGCGCCTTGGAACCCATTTTTTCTTCAAGCGAGTGTGCGTGTGTGTGTGTGTGGGGAAGGAAGTAGATGGGAGATGGGGCCTTCCTAAGGAGTGGCTTGGTGGTGTCTCAGCAGGTGAGGGTCTCCTGGAGGGAAGTCTCTACATAACGCCCCACCCCCACCGAAAGTGTCAGGCTGCCACCTGCGCCAGGAGGGTTATTTCACCTCTAGACACACCTGTTCCTTGACCCGTCGGACTGCCGTGTCGATCCTCCTGGCAGCAGAATGGGCCCCGTAGTCCAGTTTATCAGGAGAGAGTCAGGCGGGCTGAGCGCTTGGCTTGTGAACATGCGAGAGTTTACATCAGGCGGAGCAAAGTTTGGTGGGGATCCGGTTTAGGCAAGGAGAGGGGGAAGTCCCAAGGCGCCCGGCAACCGCCTTCCTGTGGGCACGTGTTCCTGGGTCTCTGTCTTGAAGCCGGAGGCCAGTGGAAAGATACGCCTTTTTCTTTTCTCTGATAGAAAAAAAAGGGCTTAATTTTCTTTCCCTCCCCCTTGAATTTACTTCCGAGGTCTGTGGGAGAGCTGTTGCACTCCGCCCGTTCCTGCACTCCTCAGGTTGCCGCTTCCTACTCTGAGGGTGTGTGATGCTGGTGGATCCTCGCCTGTGTCGGTGACTTTGCTCAGCGTGTAAAACTCCTGCCGGTTTGGCTCACTGACCCTTCTTCCCCTCCCCACCCCCCCCACCTTGCAGGAAAGAAACCTCGCTCTGCCTGCAGTGA